GAAAAATATATTGTATAAAGGTGCTGGTCCATCTGTGACCAAGACAGCAAGTCTTTGTGATGTATCAACAGCCACGGTAACCAGGGTAATGTCAGCATACCACCAAGAAGGACCAACCACATCCAACAGGATTAACTGTGGACGCAAGAGGAAGCTGTCTGAAAGGGATGTTATGGTCTAAAACCAGGTGTTTCACTTTCATTGTCTAACCCCTGTATGTAACCAAACAAACAAATGCATATAAAATTAAATGCTCTCATTCAGCAAGCAACAGATAATGCTGTCATAGTCTTATTTTCTATAAAAACAAACTATTAGAAAAAATAACTTCAGTCTTTACCACATGTTAAAATGAGGTCTGTGACCTCAAACAAAAAACTTTGGATAATATCAATCATTCAAAGTCTGAGTCTGAGTCACTATTTTACAGTTTGTTAATTCATTATCTTCCATTTGGTCAATTCATTGGCATGATCAAGGAGGCCAAGATTTCTATTTTCACAGCAACCTCTTCCAGCTTTTCTGAGAGGATCCAAGGTTTTCCCAGGCCAGCCAAGAGACAGTTTCCCTCGGCAGCACAACAGTTTAGTGGTTAGCATTGATRCCCCACAGCAAGAAAGTCCTGGGGTTGATCCTCGGTTTGGTACTGGGGTCTTTCTGTGTGGAGTTTACATGTTCTCCTTTTTCTTGTGTTGGTTTTCTCCAAATACTCCAGAAGGATTCCTCCCACAGACCAAAACCATGCATGTTAGGTTGCTTTCAGGCCAAGGCCTCCCATGCAAAAGGGAACTGTAATCTCAAAGGGAAATGCCTGGTTAAACAAAGGTTAATAAAATAATAGTCTCTTTGTGAAGGCCTATCCGAACATTTTACGGTTTCACCCACTCTTTTTCAAAAAAAAAATAACACCTTGTCTCAACTATACAGTATGTGTATGGGTTTGAGTGAGAGCTCTTCTTTATGTGTCCCTGTAATGCAGAGCTGTCACGATACAGCGGGCAAGCTGGGCATTTGTCCCTGACATTATTGCATTGTACACTGCCCACTAAAGGGGCCCCATGCACACATGCAGTGGGGAAAATAAGTATTTAGTCAGTCACCAATTGTGCAAGTTCTCCCACTTAAAAAGATGAGAGAGGCCTGTAATTGACATCATAGGTAGACCTAAATGCACTGAGTTGCCACCATGTGATTGGCTGATTAGAAATTAAGTGTTAACGAGCAGTTGGACAGGTGTACCTAATAAAGTGGCCGGTGAGTGTATATATTCTCACAGTCTGTGAGGAAAATTCCATCCAAGTTGCCTGACTGCGACACAAAGAGACACGCTGCTTGCCTTCATAGCATTTTGTAAAGTTCAGCGGCGATTAAACAAAGAAGCATGAAGCGAACATACCCTTCAGGATTTTCGAAAAAAAAAAAAAAAATGAGACTGTGGCAACTCAACTTCCCCGTCAAATGTCTGCTTTAGCACCATAACTTGATAAAAGCTAATGTTAGCTTGTGTGCTAATCTTGGTAAATGATAAATGGACTAAACTTATATAGCGCTTTATCAAGCCCCATGGGGACCCCAAAGTGCTGTCATTAAAACAAGGACAAAACACACTGATGTTAGAAAGCAGATTATCTCTGCTCTGTTGGTAGTCTACAGACACTTATTTTGGTCCATTTACAGAACTTTAAAACAAGATATAAACTATTGTTAGTGTGGTGGTGGGTGGGTGACAATATTTCTATAGTAAATAAATATAAATGTAAACTCTGCTACACACATATAACTATTTAATGGTGCATTTGACCTATTGAAAACATAGAAAAAAATAAGAGAGAAGAGAAGAGAAGAGAAGAGAAGAGAAGAGAAGAGAAGAGAAGAGAAGAGAAGAGAAGAGAAGAGAAGAGAAGAGAAACAGCCTTTATTGTCCTGCAGAGGGGAAATTCAGGTGCAACAGCAGCAGCAGATACATCAGTCCACAAAACAATATGCTGCTATGCAAAATTAGCAACAGTAGCGAGAATAATAGAATTATAATAATAATAAAAAAATTAAAAATAAAATAAAATTACTGTACAAAGCTAGAAAAATTAAAAAAGATAAAAAAATAAGATACTGTGCAGAAATCAAATTACAAAGAAAACAGTCATGACAGACTCATGATCTGAGAGAGTGTGCAACAGATTCAATTAAGTCATTTCTGGCAGTGTGCATAATGTAATTCTAATAAAACAATAAACAGTAAATTTTCATATTAATAATTAACAAATTGTAGATGATCAAAAGTAGCCTATATTAAGTGTTATACTTTACAGGATGAACTACATAACTCTGCTTGTTTAAATATTCAGGATCAGGTGGCTCCTGTCAAAACCAGATACAGTGGAGAAAATAAGTATTTAGTCAGTCACCAATTGTGCAAGTTCTCCCACTTAAAAAGATGAGAGAGGCC